GCAGATGCTCCAGCTCTGGCTCCCTAGTTCATTTGCCCTTCACCCCCCACCCCCGACATTCACGCATTGGGCCCCTCAGCCCCCCGATCTGCCCCCAGCCCCTGCCCCCTCACGGCCCCCCACTAGCCATGGCCGCCATCTCCCATTGCTCCCCAAGGGAAGGAAGCCCCCTGTTGCCCTCAGTTAACATGGCCGCCCCCTCACCCCCTGCAGTGCTTGCGGGGGGGCGATGCTGCCCCTGGCTAAGATGGCTGACACCTCAGCCTGGGGGGTGGATAAGCTTCCCCCCTCCCCCGTACTGGCGCGGTGGGTTGATGGCTGCATGGGAATGAGCCCTCCGGCTTCTGTGACCCTAACCTGACCCCCAGCCCGTGTCCCCCCAACTCCCTCCCTTGATCCCACCCTGTGGCCATGGGAGGGGTCGTTGCCTCCCCCCACACTTGTCCCCCCAGCAGGAGCTGCCCCATTTCAACAATCCTGCCCCCTCCCTCGCTTTTCTGTGTGTGGTCAGCTACATGGGAAAGACCCCCCCCACCCTGCTCCCCCCCATGCTCCTCCCCCCATCAGCCCGTCTCTTCCAAAGCCCCCATCTCCCGCCCGGCCTGTCCCCATTAGTGAGGGAGGCTGAGGGGACATGGGGGTGTGGGGGCCATTATAGGACATGCAGCATGTGGGGCAGGGGGAGGAAGGGAAGAAGAATGTGGGGGGAGGAGAAGGGGGCTGAGACTGAGGGGGCAGGCATTGAGGGGGTCTGGGGAAGGACAGTGACAGAGGAGGGGGGATTTGAGGTCCCCCGTCTGTGTTTCAGATTGAACTTGCCCCATGGCCATGGGGGCGCCCCCAACCCCTCCCCTCACCCCACCCAGCTCCTCAGGGGTTTTGGCAGGAAACAATCCAGCCCCCCACTCCCAGCTCAGACTCACTGCAGGTCAGGGGGCCACATGGCAAAGTGTGGGGAGCAGAGAAGGGGGGTCAGGAAAGGGTAATGGAGTGCTGGAAAGGTGCGTGAGGCAGGATTATCTAGGGGTGATGGGAGGGGAAGGGGTGGTGTGAGGGCTATTATGGGGCAGGGAATGTGGGGCAGAAGGTGCTGTAGGGTGCTGTGAATGGCAGGAGACTGAGAGGAAAGGAAGTGGATGACCCAGGACTGAAGGGACAGGAATGGGGAGGGGCAGTGAGAGGGTAACCTGCTAAGGCATAGAAATCGCAGCTCCCTCCTGGGGGGCACCATCAGCCCCTGCCCCTCACCACCCCAAACAATCGTGCTCCCCTGCTCTGAACTTCTGGGCGCAGCCTGTCTGCCCTCAAACTCCTGTACCCCATCCGGCCCCTGTCCCCTCAGCCCCCCACCCAACACCTTCAATGTACTTCTCCCAAACTCCCGGCTCCCCACAGCCAGCTCCCCCCCAAACACCCACTAAGGAGGGGGGGGGCGGAAGCGCCGGCGGCTAAATCACTCTGTGCCCTGTTGTGTTCATGGAGATGCAATAAAGGGCCCAAGGTGCGAATACACCCCAGCTCCTGCCCCACACTGAACAGTGTTAAACACAGGCTGGGGGCTGGGTCCAGAGCCTGCAGCCTGCTCAGCCCCACGGCAAACCCCCCATTGACCCTGGGACCGGCTGTTACAGACACAGCAGAGCAGGAACCAGGGGAGCCGTGGCAGGTGCCGTGTGAAACGAGGGGTTTGTTCCAGCCCCGGCCCCGTTCGCTGGAGCGAGTCTCTAGCCGGAAAATCCCCTGGGTTTGGGCGTCTCCCCGCTGGCCCCGGAGACGCTAGCGACTGTCCTGGGGGGGGGGGGGGCAGAGGAGCCAGCGGAGCTGGGCTGGAGCCAGCGTTGCAATGGCTGCTGTTAAAGTCTGACCCCGTTTCCTCCTGGGTCGGGGGTTCAGCCGGGGGAGGGGCGATGGCATCAGGGTCCCTCTCTCCGGCCGCTCTGCTCAGGACGTCTCCACAGAGCAGGGTCCGGATGGCCCGGGGGGCCCAGGAGACGGGGGGGGGGGGTGGTGGCAGCCGCGACGGTGAAGTCTCTTTCTTTAAGGCCACAAAGGGTGGTGGGCAGCACTGCCCGTCCCTGCAATATTTTATATACCAATGAGGCCTTGTTTCCAATACCCCAATTTTAGGTCACGGATTTCTGCTCCCCCACTTCTCCCATGTCCCGGGCAGGCCCCAGCCCGGCCCGTCGGTTCTGTCTGGCGGCCACTCGGGTTGGACTAATCCCGTCTTTCTGTCTCGCCAACTTTCCCCCAACGTTCATTCATCCAGATTCTTGTGACGCTTCCTGAACTTCTCACTCACCTTCGTCAGTTAACCCCCCCACTAGGGGACATTTGAAGGCTCCGGTATCACAGCCGTTCCCTGGGGTGGGGAGATTGGGGGGCAGGGGAGAAGGAAGCTCTGGGGGTTTGTACAATAGAAATACAGGGCGGGGGAGGTCTAGGGAGAAAGGTGGGAGAAAAAAGTGGCTGGGGGCCCCACTGCAGAGAGAGGAGGGGGACAGACACCTGGGGGGCAGTAAGTGCCAGGGCCAGACGCAGCGCCCCACACACAGGGGCCAAAGGCTCTGTATCGGGGCACTGGGGTGTGTGCGAATCTGTAGGATGGGGTGGAGGCCAAACACACCCTGCCCAGTGCGGCCCTGGATGGACGGGGGACGATGTAACTGGAATTTGATGTAAATGTAACTGGAATATGCTTTATGCAAGAGGTCTCTTGTAAGGTATCATTACAAAGCTTATGATCTACTGAGTGTTTTCATCCCATTTATTTGCATGTATTATTTCTATGTCTGGAGTTAGGCGAATAAGATATAAACTTGTATTACTGACGTAAACATGTTAAGTGGAAGCCGTTACGGGTGCTTCAGAATCAATGTGAACTGTGAATGGGTTTGTTTACCTGCAGGCCTTCCTATGTACCTGTCTGCAGGCTACTAGGCCAGGGGTTGGCAACCTTTCAGAAGCGGTGTGTGTGACGAACTGGGACTGTTCTTGCTGGGGTGTGTGAATGCTGACAGGCGAGTGTGGCTAGCATAGTCTGCATTGGAGGGTGGGGTCTGCCCCAGGGGGCCTACCCGAGCTTGTAACATGAGAACCCAGGAAGGGCTTGAAGGCCAGGTGACACCG